TTCTAAAGCGGGAATATCTGTCAATGTAAAATCAATACTGGATAAGAGAAGACACCATCTGGGAGTTTGGTTGTGGTATTATTGTGACATTTTGTCTCAACATACCCCCCGCTCCTTCTAGTTTATGTAAACAAATCATTTTTGCAAAACTCAAAATGTACGGTCTCTATCCCAAGCCCAGATAACTTTGTTTACCTCACAAGGGATATTTCCCCCAGACATAACAAAGCTTCCTCCAGATAAACAGAAGACATTAAACAGCTGTTTTCACAAGCTGAATCGTTCTCCTCATAAACACATTTGAATTGGTTTAATCCCTGGGATTCCCCTTTAAGTAACTGTAGTCAAATTTAAAAAAATGTGACAAACAAAAAACAAAGTCTGTAATTGGTTTAAGTTAGTAGGCTGGTATGTATATGTATGTAAATATAAGTCTTACAGTAATCAGACTTCAGTACTGATCAAACTTGTTTTCCCATTTCCTGACTCAATGTCCCAGAAACCAGTTTTTTGGAGTGCATATGAAATCAAGTTAAATTCAAATTAACTAATATCCCACTAATAATGCAAACTTTTTAAGCATAAATTCCTCCTTCACATCCCGAAAAACAGGGCTTCAAAAGAGGGGTTGAGCAGTATGAGGCATGGCTACAATGGGTGATCTGTTTGGTATTTTGAAAAAAAAACTTCACAGACATGTTTTATATAGGTATGGCCCTACAATATATTTTTCAAATATAGCATGATAGGTCCACTTTAAGTTAAACTTAACTAATATCCCACTAATAATGCAAACTTTTTAAGCATAATTTCCTCCTTCACATACTGAAAAACATACAAAGTAAGTACATTTTAAAAAAATATTTAAACGAATAAGACGTCAAAGCTGCTGCAATAAGTGAAATCTCTTTGTGCACCATAACAAGGCATAACAACTGTGTCGACATGCGGCGAGGACGTTGCCTTCTCCACTTTCTAATCATTAGGGCTGATAAGGACACAGCTAATAAAGCTCTGCAGCTGCGGATGCAAATGAGAAATTCATCCTCTGACTGTAGGATATAATCTCAGGTCAAATATAGTGCCACGGTGCAGCTCCATTGATTCAACAACTAGGAAGAAGTGCCATCCTGCAAGTGAATTAAGTTATAAAAAGGTAGTTAAAGCATACAAAAAAAAAGGGATGTGACATGTTTATGACCTAAGCAAAGGAAATGAGTGGTTTTTAATATACTGCGCCACGACCAGCACCCCTTCACTGGTTCCACTTTTTGAGCATCAGGTCACTGGCAGTATTATTGTCCATTGTTTATGGGAGCTAGGAGCCGCATCTCAAAAATAGAAAAAAAAGGTTTGAGTCATGGCAAATTCAAACGTTTGAAGGGAGGGGCCAGGGAGGTAAAAATGCCAAGTCCGCCACAGAAGCTGACCACTCAGGAGGCAGCTCCGCTCAGAGGGGAGGGGCTAAAGCTGGAGACGGAGGCCCCATTGAGGGAGTGCACAGAATCTCTGCAAGCAAAATATTTGATCAATGACTCACAGCAGACACGCATAAAGACACACAGGCAGGCAGGCACACACGCACACACACACACACACACCAAAGGAAAATTACCTAAATGCACCCCTTAAGTGACTTCTGTGACAGAGCTAAAAAAATCAAGTCATCATGCCTATATAAGAGCAGACCAAAGCATGCAAACACACGCATGCAAACACACACGCATGCAAACGTACGCATGCAAACACACACACACACACGGGGAGCTGCAGCTACAGAAACACAGACAGGATACAGCCCACACCCATGCAGTGCGTAGCCAATTCTGCCATGCATTTTTTACATATTGCAAATGTCTGGAAGCCCCTTGCCGAACTGCAGATGGCAAAGAGAGCAAAGCCAAAAACTAAAAGGCCTGTAGAGGAACGGCCTATAAAAACAAAAAAATAATCAGGGTTCCTTAAGCTCAAGGTGAGTTAAAAGGTTCTTTTTTTAATTTATTTTTAGGATAAACTTGACAGAAATGAAGATTAAAGAAAAAAACAAACCTATAATTGTTTTGGGTTGAAAACCGGAAGCCTCACACATTTGCTTGGAGAAATAATAATTGAGTAAGAAGGGAAAAAAAACAGTCTTACAGGGACACACACTGACACACTGATGCTGTGTGGTCCAACAGAACAAAACAATCCCCCTCCTGCCATAGTTACACCCCACAGGCCTTACACACACACACAATCTTCAAACGGGACACTTGTTAGCTCTCTCTCTCACACACACAATATATATATATATATATAGATATAGATAGAGATAGATAGATAGATATATAGATAGATAGATATATATATAGATATATATCTATAGATATATATATATATATATATATATATATATATATATATATATATATATATATATATATATATATATATATATATATATATATATATATATATATATATATATATATACATATACACCCCAAGAGCCATCATTTAGCCTGCCACACCCAGTCAAAGTCTGATGCTTGGTTTTGCCAGGACTGCAGGCTGGTGTTTTTATTGTTAGTACGACAGCACTACTATGAATGGTGGAGGGAGTTAAATCTAAAAACATATTTTTTACCATTGATGTGATTAGCTTCATCTTTACACATTACATTACATGTCACTTGTTAGATGCTTTTATCCAAAGCGACTTACATACTCAATACTGTGGGCAATCCCCACAGGAGCAATTTGGGGTGAAGTGTCTCAGGGACACAACGACATGCTGACTATAGTGGGGTTTGAACCTGTGACCACCTTATCCGAACACCAACGCACAACCCACTGCACCACACGCCTCCACACATTTTGGTATTTACAAAAATGTACAAATTTAATTCAGTTTGAAGCAAAACTATGTAAATATTTCTATTGAAATACACTTTTTGTTTTGCTTCGACCTCAAATATCCACCTCAACAATAATTGAATCTTGAACTGAGTCATGTTTATCCTTACTGCAAGTCATCACATCTGCATATTTTCAGAAAGTGGTCCACTGAATACATATAAGAACAAGTCATGCACAACATTTTAATAAAGCCATTATTTATTATTGTTAATCCTACGTGCACACCACTCATGAATCATCACGACTCTAAAAGGATTCTCCTCTTCATTTTTTGCATTTTTTGATGTGGCTGGTAAGGATGAGTAATTTAACAATTACGACCAGAGTCTGTCAGGATGTGGGTGGTTGTGGTTGGTGGTGGTATTTTACCACTAACATTATACTGAAGATGGATAACCATCAGTTGCCCAAGAGAACAGATGCTTAGAAAGAGTTCTTTTAAATGACTGTTGTAAGTTTATAAATCCAAAACAGAGATCACCTGTTGTTATAACACACATGTTATGCCTCAGCCAACCACTCTAAAATGTACAATTTCCATCCATATGTGTCCAGACTCAGGAAGGGACACCCAACATCTGTGTCACTATAACAGTACCCTACCAAATGTGAAATAATGTCACAACCTCCCCTTCTGTTCCGGAGTAATGGTGGTAACGTTTTTTTACACAATATCATTGTCATCATTTCATTATTTTGGTCGTAATTAGTGTATACATTATAACGTGTTTTGTGAAGTCAGTCAAATCCAGGACCCTGAGGCGGGCAGGGAAGATAGTGGCCGACACCTCCCACCCTGGACACAAAGTGTTCACCCCCCTCCCCTCTGGCAGGAGGCTGCGCTCCATCAGGACCAAAACCTCTCGCCACCTGAACAGTTTCTTCCCCTCCGCTACCGGCCTCATCAACAAGGCCCGGCCCCCCCCACTGACACTTTACCTCAGCCACAACGCAGACTCTATGCATTACATTAATGCACAACAATATTTTGTATTACTGCAGATTTTTTGTCCATATTTTATTCCTTCTATTCCATTGCAATGTAAATACTGTTATATTTTTCTAGTTCTCTATCCGTGTTTTTAATTCTTGTTTTATGCACCACGACACCAAGTCAAATTTCTCGTACGTGTAAACCTACCTGGTAATAAACCTGTTTCTGATTCACATCATACTTGATTTAAAGTTTGTGCCAAATCTGAAGAAATTCCCTCAAGTTGTTCCTGAGATAAAAGCGTTAATGACAAAGAGACAGACGGAAAACCAAAAAAACCAATAAATAAATATTCTGAGGCAGGAATAAATCCCACTCTGCTGCTCTTCTTTCAAATCCAGGCCCTCTGGAGCAGTGCCTTGAAGGCATATTTTGCCACCGACCCCTTGGGGGACAGCCGGGACATTTAAGATCGTCTCTGGCCTTTAAAAAAAGACACACTTTTGTTACCAGCAACTTTACCAGCCTCGTATTTCGACAACCTTTTAAAACTGACCATCTTGATCCTTCTGGGCTTCTGTATTTCCCATTATTCCTTCCCCATCATTAAAAAAACATTGTTTTAATGTCTTTCTCTGTGAAAAACACCCTGGTACCCATAACATTAAAAGGCTGCTGGAGCCCAGTCTGCCAGCTGTTCCAGACACTGCAGTGTTTAGCTCCAAGCTCTGGAGAAGAACACCACATTCAAGAACACGCCTCACACCCACGCTTTAGAGCACATATGCATAGACGCACACACACACACACACACAGGTGTCTTCCTATTGATACACCCAACAGATCGAATGCTGTCTGCACTCAGGCCTGTCGGAGGAGGAGGGAGGGGGGGCTGCTGCAGTCTGGACTGTTTCTCTCAGCTCGGTAACAAAAACTCAATTCAATTTTGTATCACCCCTGCTGTGCAAACAAGCCTCCCAATCCAGCCAAATAACAAATTGTATTTTAAAGTTCAGGGAAATCTTCTTAAATTTGACCGAGGCACTATACCTTTGCAGTGGAAAATAACTGAAGCGTGTTGCTCAGAAAGAAATGTTTGAAATCCTGTTTTTTTTTGTTTTCTTGATGGTGTGTTTTGCAGGCGGGGTAACGGTCGGTCACTCACTTGCATGTTTGTCTGCCAGGGCGATGAGTGTGCCGGAGATGTCCCTGCGTCGGTAAAAACACACCACTTTGGCCTCCACGTTCCCATTGGCTGTCTGCAAACCAGAGACAATCGGCGTTACCACGGCAACAAGTGGTGCCGCACACAGAGCACCCACACACGCACACACACACACACAGATGATTAAAAAAGAACCTTAGATGAGGAGAGTTCTTAACTATGGCTGAAAAAACTCAGTGTGAGGCTCCAGCTAATTCTCCCAAAATCACTTTAAGTGTCGCAGTTATCGGGACAGAGCGGTGTGTTCAGGGGTCGTCCGTTTTGTTAGTTGTTTTTTCCTCATAATACTATATAGGTATGATGATATTTGTTTTTAATGAAGAGCTGCATGGTTTGTTATTGACTTTATTGAACGATACCTTAACAATAAAACTCTAGGTAGAACAGTTAAAGCAATAAGACTCATTGATAAATTGATTTGTAGTACTTTGCAACAAAAAAAAAGACACAATGAGTTTGAATCTTATTATAGGCCGGGTAAATTGGATTAGGATTTTTCTCATGAATCGCTCTAGTTAAATATAATGCAAGTAGAAGAAGGATGGAGAAAAAGCCAACACATCCAACATGTCACATTTCTTTACATTATAAAAACATTTTATACTTTTCCAATCAGAGAACAATTAAAAATCTAATTTCCCACATTTCTGTGTTTGAAAACAGAGCGTAATACAAAAGAATAAAAGGTCATATATTAATAGTCAGCATTTTGTTATGAGTATGAGAGTTATTTCAAGGTTAAACAACAGCAGCTAAGCAGATTGGAAAATGAAATTAAATGTAAATCTTCTGAATCACTTCAGTACCTGGGCTAAAAGGTGTTCCATTTAACCAAATGTTTTCTTTTCGGTGATTCATTTCACTAAAATTGGATTCATGCATACATATTTATATGTGCAGGAAAGTTAACTGTAAAATTAACTTAAAGCAAAACAAAACAGGAGACAATGAGAGAGTGGCGAGGGCAGCGAGAGAGAGGAAGATGAAGAATGGATCTGTTATCACAGGGAGGCGTTGAGGTGTAGTTTAAGCATCTGGCACTCAAGCAGCCGAGTGAATACATGTTCCTTGCTGATATTAGTTCATTTATCACCGTTTGCAACGTCAAAGTAATGGCAGAGAAATTATCAGAAACTATTTGTTAACCAATCAATTGTTTCGGTCAGTTTTTTTAAGGAAACATGTTTAAATATACTTCAGTTCCAACTTTCATTATGTTATTTTCTTGTCTGATGTGATATTTAAGTAAGTCATGTAAGAGTCTGACAACATTATTTGGCACATACTTCGCTCTTTTCTTCCACTTTAAGGACCAAAAGAATAACAAAGCATGGAAGTATTAATGGCAGCCAATCATTTGCATGTTTAAATTGTACATTTGTATCTTTAAAATCCTAATTTTGGGGCACAATGTAAAAAGACATTACGCATAAAGGATCCAATGTGTTTTTTAGCCGTTTTAAACAGCTGCTGGTTGTCCGGACTTTTCCCTTTACCGTTTTATACTTTCTAAACACGCATCTCAAACTTTATGTTAGAGAAAGCCGGCGCTCCCTGCGGGGCGGAGAGACTGACAGTGACGGCAGAACAGAGGCTCGCTCTGCTCTCCGTGTCACTCACATCAGGCAGCCGGCAAGTTATCCACACAGGCCGGGACAGGGGACAGACACGGGCACCTGTAACCAGTCCGCAGAGACGGGACTCTTTTTCTGCTTCCTCGACTGAACAATGTGCAAGATGGCAGGCTGGGGTTTACCTGACAGCATCCTGAGCAACATTATTATCTTCGGTGTGACATCTCAATACAAACACTGTTTTTACGGCTTTAAAGGCAATACAGATATGGCCTTTTAGAACCACACGTTTCCTTTACTTTAAAGTGGTAAATTGCAAGTGTATTATTCATAGCAACAACTATCAATATCACCATTATGTTATAAGCATATCAACAAGCTGGTCATAGATGATTACTGTTAAACAAAACATTGGTATAAGACACAAAAAAGCTGTTAAATAACCCAAAACAGATTTTTGACAACCGCATTTTCCGTTTAACTTTAGGTTAGGAACTTGTAAAGCTACAAATAACAAATGTTTTCATTATAAATGATTGTGTTGATAATTTCTCCATTATTCAATAAATAATTAGGTCTAAAAACTCAATAAAAGTAATATACGTTTCCCTAACAATCTGAAATCTAAAAATCTGTGATCTTCAGTTTGCTGAAATCCCCAAATCTTGAGTTTCATAAGATGGATAAAACAACTGGAAAAGACAAAGAGTTTAACACAGTATTGATATTTGACCTTATCCCCATATAAAAGTCTGATATTGAACAGTCCAGGGTGTATGGTAAAAGATCCAAACTAAGCTTTATGAGAACCCAAAAGGGCGAGTATATATTTTACAGTTAAACATTTACTTTAGTTATTAAAGTAAAGATTTTTTCGGTTTAATATCTAACAAATCAGACGGGAGTAGAGTGGGTTTTAAAGGCTTCAGACAGAGGCATGTAATGTGATGTGTAGCTTTCAGATCTGTGCTGCATTCAAGCACACTCACCTTGTTCAACTCCTCTATCCTCCTGATCAGCAGTGGGTTACTGGACGAGTTCTCAAAATAAACATAATCTGCAGAGGAACAGCGAGAAGGAGGAGGAGGAGGAGGAGGAGGGAGAGGGGAATGGAAAGAGAAAGGAAAAGAGGGAAGAGAAACGTCAGTCAGCATTTCAGGTTCATCCAAATGTTCAGGGTGCTTTCCAGTTGAACAACACTGACATCTTTATAAAAATTCATTTTGCACTGACTACTGAATGTCATTATTGATGTTTTTCAAAGGAAGCTTCATATTTGATGACGTCATTCCACCAAAACTAATTTAAAAAAACGTCTCTTCAAGTTGAATGAAGGGATTCGTCGGATTATTTGTCAGCCTGTTATTTTTAAACTTTGATTTTAAACTGTGTGACCTTTCTACAGTCGTTGGCATGAAAATGATGCAGATACATATTTTGATCTGAGATAACGTGCAACATGTGCAAGAGCAAAACAGTGAAAATTGGGTTGGGTAATTTGTTAGATAAAAACATGTCTTTTAGAAATGATTACATCCATCTCATTGACTTCACAACACTCAAGCAATTCGGCTACAATACTAGTACGCAACACTGTCATCTAATTCTAGGAATAGCTTAATACTTAAAAATAATGACGTGTAATCTTTATCGAAAATTGTGCAGACATACTGGGCATGAACTGAATGAAAAAGACATCATCTTCACATCATGATCTTGAACGTCTTGGAACGATTCAGTGAGTCCATTTTTTATAAATAGGAGATCCCGTTGTAGTCTGAAGGTCTGACTAAATGAGACGTTGCCGCACAATAAATGTGTCTCTCTAAAGCTCTCCATTCAGACTACAGCCTTGTATTTCCTCATGTTTTCTTTGTCTTATCACCCTTCATCCTCCCCATGTGCGTTTGTTGTTTGCATGCACGGTTTGTCTGCATTTTGAGAGGGTGTGTAGAAGACTGCACAAGCATTTCTACGCATGTGTGACTTAACTATGCATTTCTGTGTGTGGTGTGTGTGTATGTGTGTGTGTGTGTGTGGCTCCTGGCACTGCTCCAGGCCCATTGGAGGCTTAGCTCTCACCAGGATGTCCCCACAGGCCCCACTCTTGGTAGGGTGCCTGGTCTTAGCCCTGCATGTGTCTTGGCTGAGTGCTGTCAGATTATACCCCACACTTGGTTGGCTGCCTGGAGCTGGAGCTATCCTCCCTTCACCCTGAACCTCACCCGCCCATCCCCCACCCTCCTACGGGCCCCGTCTTCATGACCGACTAGGCCAGAGATCGTCACCAGCACAACCTCGAAACACACCGACTCCTGCTTTTATTTCCTGCACCTCCTGTGTCTAACACTAACTGGTTTAGGCATAGACTCATCATGATCGCAACATTTCGGATCTGCACCGACATCCACAACTATCTTGACATAAATAGAAAAATCCACCTACAAACACTTAAATACTCTAAAAAAACATCATCTGTTATGCATCTTGTTGTGGGCAAACCACTTTTTTTGGTGCAAATACTTCCAGACATTGTAACATGGTTGAATAAGAATACAGTAAATTGAAAAGGAAAAAAACATTTTGGTAGGTGTGTGAAGCTAAAAGATCCAAACCGTCTCCGTTTCCAGCTTCTTAAAATGTAAGAAAAAGGCAGCTTTCTTTGCTTAATATGGTGCTGAATCGAATATCTTTAGTTTGTAGTACTCAAATCTCGATTCATCGTTTAGGATTGCAACTAATGATTATTTTCCTACTACATAAGGTAATCGTTTTTACTATAAAATGTATAAGACATCACCTTGGTCTCCAGGAAACTTTGATAGGCATTTTCTTTATCATCTTCCAACAATTTATAGACTAAAGTGTTACTTTCAGATCTATAAATAGTCAAACATAACATCTGCTGATTAACTGCCAACAAAAACAATCAAGAAATCTCAGAGACAGCGGAGGAAGACACGCAAATGTATCTCAAACAGACAAACCTTTGACTAAAAAACCTTTTGCTCAACTCTCCCTATTGGTATTCCTCTCTCCACCCACACTCACACAACTAAACCAAACAGATTCACAGCCACTCTTTGGAAGGAGGCGCAAATGTAATTTGTCTTCAATTCAATACAATTACTCCTAATATGAACATTTATCTGAAGAAGTAAGAACTGTATACTTCTTTCCTTGTGGGTTAAGGGTGAACCCAGGCACTAACAGTAGTTCAGGAAGCATGTAGAGTGTCATTTCTATATCAGTGTATTTTGGCAACCTTACATACTCCCAACTCAACTTCGCTACGAGGCGAGAAGAGATCGTCACATCACGCCTGTCTACTCTTCACCCTGAAACAGCTTGTTACTAGACTCTGCTGCCACTGTGACATCTTCGTCCTGCTGCTGAATATCAAATAGGCCAACTTGAAATTGAGCGTTCCTGAGACAGAAAATAAAGACAAGATATCGGACTTGCTCATTTTCAGGCAGACCTGGGGGTCAGAGGCTGGCTGAAAAACTGTGAGTGGGGAAAAGTGAGTGAGACTCCATCCCACTTAGTGATGAACCACAGCAGAGACAGGCACCAGCTTCCCAAATGTAAGGATTTTCTGCTTTTTCACATCATTAATCCAAGAAAACTGAGTATTTTTTAAACGTTGGACTGGTGCCTCAAATTACAATTTGTTGACATCAAGCTGAAAATATATGATTTTCCAAGGATCTTTTGTTTAATATGTCCTTCTTTATAATAAAACAAAAATGTGTCTAATAATAAAGAACCTGATAAATAAAAATCCTGACGCTAATTCACCACTCTCAAATTTGAGTCATTATTCTATACAATGGAAAAAAAGGTGTTGAGTACAAGGAGATCTTTAAGTTGCTTATTTTGTCCAAAAAAGGACTGTTACAAAGATATGAATCAACTAATAGACTAATTGACTCGCCTCATAGTTTCGGTACAAATTTGAAAAAACATACTTCAGCTGGACACACTGAATAATTCAAACTAATTGCAGCAAAAAAAAAAAAAAACCCTGATCAAAATGTAGTTCCTGGCTTCAAAACATGGAGGGGTCTTATGATAAACCACAGAGAAAATGTTGACGTTTTTTTCTTGGCCTTCAACGTTCCCAAGCTCGGAGGGACCAATTAAGCGAGACTTAAAATGCGTCATGAACGTTTCAAACCGAAGCAGAACCACATGTCAAACATTCGGCTTTGGAGTGAGGTTGGGTGTGAATGGCAGCCACGAGGTATGTTATTTTGGGGTGGGTTGGTGACAGGAACATGTCTCCTCGTAGTCCTGCATTAAGCGTCACTGCGAAGGTGGGATTTTGGGCTCGGTTCACCAATTTTCTTTTTCTTGGCTCGGGAACCTAAGTTACCAAAAATGGATTCACTTTTAAGTACAACCCATGTCCTTTCCTTGCCACCTATGGCGAGAAGAATAACAAAAATTGCAAGAAAACAGGGAAATGAAGAGTGGGAGTTTCCACCATGTGAGGAGCTGAAGCCTGGTAGAGAGCGAGCTGGAGAGGAACTCAAAATGAGAGCAACAGAGAGAGAGAGAGAGAGAAAGAAAGAGAGAGGGCCTGTAGGCACTGAGCAGCGTCACTCAGTCTCTCCATTTTCCCATCAGCCCTCCCGCCGCCTCAATCCGCGTATAACCTCCCCTCCCCTCCACCACTCTCCATCCCCCGCTCCCAACGCCAGCCAATCCGCCAGCACCGGCGACTGTGATGTCACGGTGCAGTCGAATGTTGTGCGAGCCAATCAAGGCATGTTACCGAGCCTCAAAAGAGAGAGTCTGCTGGGCTGATTCAAACCAGGCCAGAGAGAGACGCGAGGATGAGAGAGGGGAAAACATGAGATAGCGGATGGACTCGGGGACCAAAATGGACAAAAAAGAATTACAAAGCTGAGCAGAAATGTTAAGTTGGCAAATTAGTTGGTGAAACTGTTAAACCAGGAGCAAACATCCTAAATGAGACAAAATGAACCGAGGTCCATTATTGACATTGAGGTGGAGAAAAATATATGACCATACAAAAAAATAAAACTCAATGATACCTCTCCAAACTACGCGCTTAAATGATCCTGTACCTAAGACAGTTTTTCCTGTGTTAAACTTCTTCTATCTGAATAGAAGCAGTTATATCCTTCACCATTTATGCAGACACTTGCAAGTAGTCTGAGGACAAATGTAAGATTTGTAAAGACTGTCAGAGGGTTGTTGAAAGTATATCATATCTAATATTTGTACATTTCTACCACATATTAGTGCAATGGTCAGGGAACGCGAGTACACTATGGGGGGAAACTCGATGATTAGAAATACATTTCTCCAATCATTGAAGTCCTAAAAGTTTCTCAAAAGAAAACTGAAGATTTTTAACCAGCTTTTTGTTAAGCAGCGTGGGCATAACATGCAGATGAATGATGTCAAGTTGCGTCATTGAGGGAGCTTCCCCTACTTATTCGCCGCCGTCAAAGATCCACCATGTAACAAAAAAAGATTAAAAAAACAAAACAAGATAGGTCAAATTTTGTAGTTATCGTGATCAATGGCAGCCCTGTTAAAGTCATCTTGATACTATCTACGCAACTCAAGTAAGCAAACTGTGATCAGAGGGAAAAAACAACAACATGAAGCCGTCATTATGTGCATGACAGTTTTCAATGATGTGCGGAGACACTTCATTTAGGATTCAGTCTCCATATGCGACTATAGAAAAGACAGTTGTGGTGTGTAATACTTGTACAGTAAACCATGTAGGACAGTAATGAAAAGGCTAGAGGCTAGAGATGGGAGATAGAAAAGCAGGAAGCAGCACATTTGAACATCCACCCACTCTTGTCCATGCGCAGATACCCCACACCCCACCCAAAGCTTACTCACACACTCCCACTGAGAGGCGTGTCTGTCGCAGTGATTCGGATTATGGCTTAGACTGTCACAGTATGGATGGAGATTTCTGTGGTAATGGCAGGTAGTTTAATCTTCAGAGTTCATCCCAACACTTTGATATCCCTACCTGGCAGCATTTCTCTAGCATAACTCCTGGCTGAAGATGGTGAACGCTACTTTAAGATAATACAGTAGATTCATCTCTTTGACTTTATGTTCTACAACTGTCTACTGACCTCGGAAATAATCCACATTACACACCTCATGCAAACATAAACAGAAAAAAAAATTCATAAAAATGGGCCTTTTTCATAAAGTCAGTAAATCAGTTAAGGCAAAGAGAGATTTTTGATCTCATTAAAAGTGGCATCAACTTCCCTCCCAGCATGCATCTGTTTGGCACTTGTGCCTCGACCATCAGTGCGGCTTGTTCTTGTTATTCATATGTGACTAATCAGCAAACGTGTGCAGGTTTTACACAACAAATCTCTCTGAAAAAACTATTTTAGGGGAGTTTAGGAGACCAGATCTAGAAATCCAAATAGCTGCGGAGCCGCAAAGACGCCACAAGGAATCTAGCTTGCGTCAAATACTTTTTATTGTGATGGATGTATGTGTAGTTTGGCCTCTGTAGAAATGTGATGATGGGATAGGGACACTTGTCATGCATTTGCCCAATCCTGAATTTGGCAGGAAGGCAGTAAGCAGGTCGCAAAACTGTAATTACACCCACAAGACCTGCGAGAGAGGCAACTGCCAGCGTGGGAAATTAACACCAACCACCAGCCAGAAAAAGTGTGGGCACTGTCAAAGTTTGTACCTTAGTCATTTTGTGGATTTGTAAACATTACAACACCTTTAAGCAGGGTCTGGATCATAACTGGCAGCATGGACAGCCAACAACCACAAAAATATGGGCACTGGCAATAAAGTTTTTCACTTTTTAAAGTTAGTAACTACAACACATTTAGCACATTCTGTACAAGAGTTGTCACACTCCGACATCCTCATTACAAGTGTTTATTTTAAGGCTAGCTTCACATCTTTTCAAGCCTGCTTTAAAACAATAGTCAGGAGCCGATATGAAGATAGCTATAATCACTCCTCCTGTTTTTACTTGCCTTAAAAAGATCCCCTCTGTCTACATTCCTTGTCCTGCAAAAATACATGACAACATTTACCTTAATCTCTGTCAAGCTTAAGTGGTCTTTGTTATACAAATCACGTGTGCATCTTTTAAGGTTAGTCTTCTTAAAACTAATTTCCCTTCTTTTTGTTATCATCCCTTCACTGCAGCTCGGCACATAAAACATATTTGAGGGAATATTGAGGTAGGTTTTCATTTATAAGTCTGTCTCTGTTTCTATAGTGAGGCTGCTTTTACAGTCATTTACTAATTTCAGTAATGTATTGGAGGTGCCAATGTGGAGGGCTTAAGCCAGAACAAAAACATATGGTCATTCGGCTAAAAATGTTAACCTGGCTCAACTTTTGTCAATACTCAGCATCATCCAGCATGGCACTGCAATGGCCAATTAAATATTTTCAATGTTTACTCTGTGATTGTCGTGGAGTAAGATGGAGACTGCTAAACCTCGTATTTGCTCCAGATGAAGTTAGGAATTAATTTTTTCTACAGAACGAGGCCTTAGGATTTTGTTCACTTGAAATGGAAGTAGTTGATATGAAAATATATTAAACTGTTAATCACCAAAATTATGATTATTTTTAAAATGCCAAAAAAAAAAAAACTTGAATCCCTTTACCTCACATTTTGATAAAAAAAAAAAAAAAAACTTAACTCAAAGTCAAACTTTTTCAAGAACGTTTTTGAGAGTGTTTTCTTACATTATAAATCTGTATTTTTTTTAAATCAAGCGCTTTTGTTCCCCTCACTGCCATAATAGCAAGTTATATCGCTTTTTTACTGGTGAGGATATTTACGATTATCCCGATAAAGGAAATTCACCACGATCAACATTTTTTGAGAGTTTTGCTTTCTCGATATCTATATCTAAAATTCCTGATTGCAAGTGCTTTGGGAAAAGAGCTTATAACCATCTTTAAGAAGAACATTTTCGCACGGACACTTCAGAGTTGTTGCAGCACAGACTTTGTGAACCTATCATTCAAAACAAGACCTTAACACAACTACATATTTTCCTATTGTCTTTTGAGAGTCATTTTTGTGTGAACAGGTTTGCAGCCAGCCTTGGTGACTCTTGTTTATAGGTTCAGAGTTTTGAAACTTCTGTGGCCAGAGCACAAAAGGTCTAAGCGAGCCTGTCTTCCTTTCCCACCATTAAGATGATAAGACTTATGATATAGCCTACACTTAGTCACAACACTTTCCTGTGTTTGGAGGGGAAAGCACTGGGACGGAGCGCTGCAGGAAGAGTGGCGTGTGGCCTGCACGATAAAAACAAAGACAGCAGGGCCCACGGAGCAGCTTTTGTTCACGGTTCAAACACAAGGGAAGTCATTGCTTTTTCAAGATGATCCTGCATTGTCTTGCAAAGAGGCGGCCATCTTTCCAAGGGTCCCGCTTTGTCCTGTTGTTAAGTTGAATTGGTCTTAGGAGAATTCAGCCAATTAATAGGCTTAATATAGGCCTCATTTTTTATCTCTATGGCAAAAAATAATAAAATATATTATAATGGTTACTTTAATTAAGTGATGAGAGTTCACGCTTTATGGTTTTACATTAGTTTGGTTATTACACACTTAGGCCTATTTGTTTATAATTTCACCTAATAAGGGCAAAGAATAACTTGTTTGGTAAATATGATCAATAAGAAGGACTGTGATGCAGCCCATTCTAGCAATCATTCATGTTACGATTATCCTGAACATAATAAAAGTGGATTGCGGAAATGATCCCAATTATTATCAAGATAGCCGATAAGGTCAGTGAATAAAGAATTTAAAAACACCAACATTGTGTGAGTCACAATAAAATCCTACCCTGTATGTCATCCATAACAACAGTCGCAGGAGTAAATAGTGGTGTGAGCTGATCTAAACCCTGACTGCTGACGGTCAGAGACATTATATTACTCCAGGAGGTCCCACAGTTATGCGTGGACTTATTACGACTCTAAGATTTTAAACAAACAGAACAACTTGGATATATGTTGATATTTGTTATGGTATTAATGGGTTTCCTTTTTTCACTGTTAACTGCAGATGGGTCCAGTATCACGTCAAAATACAACATCTTAAAAGCTACCAAGTAGGCAGACCGGCAGGGAAATTTGGTAAAAAGAGACACATAAGACCACCTAGTAAGCATCTCAGCAAGTGAGGCCGACAGTGTAATGAGCTGTATTTAATTCAACAACATGTGGCTGCTGAAGTGTTAACTTTCTGCCCTGTTCTGGACATAATCCTGCTCTCACTCAGGTAGGCCCCGTTTCATTTGACTAAATAAGAGGGCTATGACGTTCACTACAGGCTATTTTTATTGCGGGTACAATGCCAAAGAGAGTCATCATCAGCATTCCTGTTTCACTAGACAATTGTCAGCAATGGCATGTCAATGTATCTTCAGTGACTCTTGCTCAATTTTCCATACACACGTTTACTTTGAGTTAGGAAGAAGTATGCAATTTTGTAAACAACTATAACAAGGAAAAACTTGGACTGCAATAAAAAAACATGAATGGAAATGTAGGCTTGAGGGATCTACAGACTAACCTACTGAACTAACCTCTAAACAATGACACCTGCCATAAACTACATTATACTATATCATGGCCCACCTTATTTTGGTTGTTCTGACACTTTGACAGTAACATTTTTGAAAAACAACATGTGAGAAATAGTCAAAATTCTGCAACCATAATGAATTGAATGCAAGGCATCTGATTATTTGCCTGTCAATTATTGTGCTTTCTCATGTCCATCCCCCTTTCAAAAAACATTGCCTTATTTAAACTCTAATGCACTAACTTTCATGTGCCTGTTTTTTTACACATTACCTACAGGATATGAATCAGAGCAATGAGCAAAAAACGAGTGGGAGGGGGAAACAGGAATCTTCATTAGGTATTAACTGGAGATGCCTGAAGGAAATGAGGAGAAATACCTCTGATTGAAATGTGTGAAAATGCATCTTTGAGCATGCAAGGAAAAACACATTTACCCATTTCAGCTTAAACTTTCTTAATATTTTTAAAATCCTAGTTTGTTTCTCTGCACTAAGGGAATACTACCACATTACTGCATCTACTCTGCACATCTTACGGGGTTTCTGCAGGTTTACTCATGATGTTAGTTCCCCTCATGAAAGAGTAGTTGAATGGTACGCAAAAACTTTTACAATACGTTCCCCATGTCCCCTTAAATGCATAGAAACACAATGCATGTGACTGTAGGTGCATCAGCTTGTCGAATTAGTTGTCAGGAGAGCGTCGCAAGTTACAAGAAACACAAAAGAAACGAGGGAAACCAGACTACTCTTCATCACCATCCTCCTCTTCACCACCCTCATCATCTGTGAAGCACAAGGCTCTTTAGCTTTAGGGAAATAAAAGACTACGGACCACGCTCTGTTTTAAAAAAGACCCACGGTTGTTCACGTCCGCCATAAACACACTACGGGAAGCTTGTGAAATGTTCCCCCCCTCCACCTTACCTCCAACCCGGTACATGTTCGCTGCCATGACTGCCCCGGTCCCTGGCTTCCTCTCCAGGTAGAGGGGAGGCTCTCTTCTCTCTCTCGCTGCCGGAGCTATGTTAGCACTGCCGCCGCTGTGTGTTGGAAAATGGTGGATTGATCAATACGAAACAGACTAGCTGAGGGACCTTAAAGAGACAGCGCACTATTTTTTTCTCCCACACTTAAAAACTCAAGTTCGGCGGCTGAGATTTGGTTTGGTTTCAAGTTTTGTATGAAACTACTTAATATATTTCAAGTTTTGTGTTGTTGCCGTTAGCTACTAGCATTTTCTAAACAAGGCAAACGTTACAGACGTTGATGTAGTTCCACAAGTGACGTCACTGATCCATCCAACACCAACGGTTATCCCATTCACTTACCCTAATTATTCTTATATTGTTTAGTTTTATTGAGTTTATTTACTAATGAAACGACTAGTTTACATGATAAACAGAGAACAAATAAACATATTTTTAACGTTAACGTTTTCTGTACTACATAATGTGGAAATATTCCCACATTATGTAGTACAGAAAATGGCTTGAAAGCTAGATCAAATGTCTTGGAGCAGTGTAACTAACCTGGTAGAATTTTTTTATTTATAGATAGCCTATGGGTTAAACACTGACATATTTCCATATGTTAAGGCGAAGCTCAAGTTGTACACTCATGTTGGTGGCTGTAATTTGGTTTGGTTTCAAGTTTTGAAAGAAATTACTCATTTTATTTCTAGTTTTATGTTGTTACCGTCAGCCATCAGCATTTTTCAAAACATGACAGACGTTACAGACGTCGATGAATTCAAATGATTTGCTTTTAAAAAGTGTTATATTCTTAAATGTTTAATTATAAATGTTTATATTAAAAGTACTATTACTTTATTTAGTTTATTTACAAATGTCAATATTAGTTTCCATGATAAACTGTGAACATTTTTTGAAATATGTAGGCCTAGGCCTACACCTTTTTCACTAAACTGACCTTTAGCCTCGCAAAGAAACTGGCTTAAAAGCTAGATCAAATGTCATTAAGCAGTGCAACTAACCTAGTTGAAGCTTTATTTTTTCCAGTTAATGGGCCAAATTCAAAAATATTTCAATATTCAACTACACATTTGAAGAGTTTGCTAATAAAAGGCCTCAAGGTTGAGAAACTTCCTGTCCCATGCCTAAAACCAAATGTCGTGATCCCAAATCCCTAAGCTCTGTGGAGTGAAGTTCATGAACCAACAGGGGTAGGGCCCCATGGGGTTAAATGGAATAGGCTTTTTAACATTTATAACATTTATTAGTGCATGGAAGAATGGTCACTAACTCACAGGTGTGTCCCTCACTGCTGTGAAAGTAGCTATAACCATACATGATAAGGATTACTTTACAAATAAGGTAGGAAACCTGACCTGCCTGTTAGGGGGCTTTTGGTTAAGTTGTTACTAAAATGTATTTGGACCGACATGGTATTTTGTATTTTATTTCCATTTATTTGATCTAGATAAGATTGTCATGTGACCGTGGAACATTTCCTCTTTTTTCTTACATGGAGAGTTTTTACATCTGCTCAGTAATAATGTCAAAACTAATTATGTTATTCATTCTGTTAATTTATCTTACCATTTAATTTGTGCATTTATCTAATAAAGAACTGTGTCCATATTACATTTTAGGGTATTATGAATAAAGCTGTATTTTTTTGAAATACTACAATGCAGATTTAAACATCAAACACTGTTCTGTATAGTTCACATTCACATATAATTTAGCTAATTTTTTGATAACTGTAAAGCAAACAATTATAAAAAATCATGTACGCAGTGTGCATTGAGGGCAGCACAAGGGCAGTAATGCTATTATGGGATATACAGGAATCGGGCAGCATCACAGGGAAGTGTAGGACTATCAAACTAAATACAATCACCCACTTAGTTAAATGAATGTACAGGCATACATGAGGGATGATGGAAAATGGGCAGGATTTAGTAGTTTGGCATAATCTGCCATAGAAAAAGGGCATGTTTTGTACTGCAAAGACCACTAGCAATGTTTTCCTGTTCATCACCCATCGCAAACACAGATATTCTCCTTGAATATGGCAATAAGTATTGCAGTATATCATCATTTAAATACATATCTCCTTCTAAAAAACATAGAAGAGCCCAGCTTTTGTTTTCAGTAAAAAAAATAGTGTTTAGCAGAAGGTGTCGAATAAGTGAGGTATGTTATGACAAGAGGGAGAATATATAGTATTGTCTTTTGACAATAGTAGTCTGATTAGCTCCATTTTTCACTGTGGAAACAAGCATAGAGCCTCTGTGCTGGAGGAGGAATGCTGTGGTGAGGGCTACATCTGATCTATACCATATGGAAGCCTCAATTACCGTTTTCTAACACAAGGGACTACAGCCTGCAGTCACATGACCACCGCAAGCCAATCGTGTGTACTTACAGTATGCACTCCTGCTCAAGTGTGCAGTCTCAATGTTGGAACTGTGCTGCATTGGAGGGATTCTGCATTGTGTCTCAGGCTCTTTTATGAAACAGAAATGAGAGAAAGTGCAGTGAGATTTTGAACATTTTTCAATGACAATCTGTAAATTGGGAACAAAATAACTATGAAAAATGAAACAGCATCATTACCAGTAGATGTTTTTGCATATTATATATCTATTGCCCATTATACATTATGCTGCTCACTGCTTTTTGGCAACATATGATGCATTTATGCATACAACAAAGCAATTATCTGACAAAATGTTGCCGCTTGCTGTTTAGAACATTGCTCCCTGTTTTTCACTTTATTTCATTTGCATACCTTGCTAATTGTTTTCAAAAAAAAGTATTGCAGCATATCTCACAGCATATCCCTGCACAGTGTGTGTTATATGTCATACAGCGACTGGCACAAGTGAGCGGTCTTCATCGCTGTTGTAATGAGGGAAACCGTGCCAATACTTAATATGGTCTCAATTAAAGAAAAATAGGTTCCCAAACACAATGTAGCCTTGTGTTTGGGAACTGTGACTACCTTCATTAGGAGTGTTTGTTGACTTGGCTGCTCGCTGCTGTGCAGATGTTCTATTTGAATCCACTTGCTCCTCTACCAGATGTTGCTGCAGTCATGAAGACAGGCAGAGTAGCAGGCAGGCAGAATACAATGCAGAGCGGTGCAGGTGTTCTCCCCTGGTGAATCTGTGGAGAGGGATTGGTTCGAGACACAGGGCGTCTGCAGAAACTCCCCTCGGGTTTGGTTGCAGTCCCAGAGGATGACCTCTGATGGCCTTTTTTCTTTCTTTCTCCTATTTCTTCCCCCATCCTCTTTCCTCCACGGCTACACAGGAGAGACAAAGACACATAGGAAATCAATTAGGCCTGTTTTCCTGGCAGAGAACGTTTCCACATTTTTGATTGCGCCTTCTCGTTTGTTCGCTCACTGGGGGTTGTGGTTGGATCCAAAGACACTATGGGAGGTACAGCTATAAAGGACTATTGTTAGAGAGCTCTCTTCTCAGCACCTAACTGTACATTCTTGTAATTCTTGAAAAACATTGGGATTTCTCACTCGTTTTTATTGTGGAACAACAATCAGTGTTTCTTACAACCTACAGAGTCAGCCAGGTTAGTGACAGGTGTCTTTCATTGGCATTGACAGGCTCTTACTCATGTTGTAGATTGTAAGAATAATAACTTTATTTATATACAGTATAGCACCCATTAAAGGTGGGGTAGGTAATTTTGGAGAAACCAGCTCGAGTGTGCTAGAATTTGAAAATACACAGCCGGAAAAAATCTGCCACTTCCTTACAGAGCCCCTCCTCCAACACACACGAACGCGCACATGACCAATGAGGGCACGAGATAAGTTTGTGCACAGATGGAAGGCTGACAGGCAGGTAGGCCATCCAGTTATTTTAGCCGGGCCGGCTAAAATGATTGGTCGTGCTTTTTACAGTATTACGGCTTCCACAGATGACTTTTTTTAATGGATTTTTTGTCAAAGCACTTAAGATATTCATTGCTATCGGGATGTTAAGAGCATTCCATGGAATATAACAAAAAGTGTATCTCGAGCCGGTTTCTCAAACTTACCTACCCCACCTTTAAAAGCAGAATTTTTACAAAGTGCTTGGATAGACCAAGCAGAGGCAGGATACTCAAAAGATATCAGAAAGCTAAACAAAACCGAGACAAATGTATTATAAATTATTAATACAAATACAAAAGAATAAGTAAAGTAAAAGCAATACAAAGACGACAATAAAACAGGATAGGTATGTATAAGGTAAAGGTATAAGGTAAAGTGAATTGAATGCGGCTGCAACTAACATTTATTTTAATTATCAAAATAGTTAAACATATTATTGTCATTCTTACTCAAGCTCAAATGAAGAGGCATCACCACCGGATCACAGAAAATAAAAATAAAAGATGGATTCTATCATGTCACAAAGTGTTTTGTATTGTCTGTCTTTATTCTTTTCAGGTCCTGAACATGACAGTTCTCCGCTTCATTTTGTTTCTACCGCTCTGAAAGCTTTGACACGAGGCAGCGCTGACTTTTTTAATTGGGAATCTCTGCTGCAGGGGATCTGTCAAACTAATTTCACAGCTAAAAACATCAGTAACTGAATTAACACACTACCTCAAAATTATCTTAAAGCCGACACACAGCTTGCATTTATCAATATCAGACCACAGGGGGAGCTAATGTCTTGCTTTTGAAAACGTGTGTAGTTGAGACAAAGGGGCAGCTGCTTTATGGCCATGCATAGTTGGATTTGCAGTGATATCTCTGAGGAAAATAAGAAACCTACACAAATGTTAACAGCAATGCCTGAAATTATAAAAAGTTCTATATCTTCTTGCACTATTTCTATGACTTGAGTATATGTTACATTGTTGTAAGAGACTGGGACTTAAGATTGTCATTGTTGTGTCTCGTCAAATGTGTTAGTTATGTTTATGTAGTTTGTCTGTCATTTCCTGTTTTATTTTGTATTCACCTCTTGTCTTTCATTTCAGGCCCTGTTTTCTTCCTCCCCTTGTGTGTTTTTCCCGCCATCATCAGTGTCTGCCCCGCCCCTGATTGTTTCCACCTGTTCCCACTCACCTCATGTTTAAATAGTCCTGTCTCTCCCCTGTCCTGTGTCAGTTCGTCTTGTTTGTGTCCCCGAATGGTCGTGCCAAGCCTCAGCTCTGAAAGGATCGCTTTTCACTCATGTCAGGTTTTGTTATGTTTGTTTATTTTGTTAGGCTTAAGTTTTTATTAAGTCCTCTTTTTGTTACGCTAATTTTTTCCTCCTTGTGAGCGCTTTTTGTTATTTCCACTACCTATTCTGTTAAAGGTGGGGTAGGTAAGTTTGAGAAACTGGCTCGAGATACACTTGTTATATTCCATGGAATGCTCTTAACATCCTGATAGCAATGAATATCTTAAGTGCTTTGACAAAAAATCCATAAAAAAAAGTCATCTGTGGAAGCCGTAGTACTGTAAAAAGCACGACCAATCATCTGAGCCGGCCCGGCTAACTGGATGGCCTACCTGCCTGTCAGCCTTCCATCTGTGCACAAACTTATCTCGTGCCCTCATTGGTCATGTGTGTGTTGGAGGAGGGGCTCTGTAAGGAAGTGGCAGATTTTTCCCGGCTGTGTATTTTCAAATTCTAGCGCACTCGAGCTGGTTTCTCCAAAATTACCTACCCCACCTTTAAGAGGGATTACCTGATCTGTTAAAAATAAATACACTTTTTTTTTATTACATTCAAGACTTTGTCTCTGGGTCGTGCATTTGGGTTCATCAGTTTGTGTCGAGGTCCTGACAGTCATGCTATAACTATGACAATAAAGCCTTTGAATCTTACATTTTGGATCTTGATTTTTTTTTTTAAGATGCTATATATTGTACTAACCTCATCCCTCCAGCAGGGAGCATCACTCGCACTCTTTTCTTTTGTCCTGGGTTGCGCCCTTACAAAGCAGTGATGTAGCATTAGGAAAAGGGGCCATCCCTGAAAGAAGAAATTACACTTCAGTGAGTTATCATGAATTCTGGGGACAATGCCAGTGAGCAGCATCAAGGCTGGCACACACAAATATTGACTGTACAGCTCAAGGATCAAATAAATCAAACTGTGTCATTTCCTCATCACTGTCTCTCAGCTAGAGTGGCCAACATGTGGTTTATATAGCGTGTGTGTTCCTTTTAGAGGTCATCTATTACTGCAGACATGGAAACACTCAGCCATACTTTGAAGGCTTCATAAAAACGCTTGGCCCTAATCCAAAGGGATTATCCATATCACACTTGCGGGTTATTGATAATGTGACCTTCGCAGAATAAACGTGGAATAACCATCAGACTTTGAAGAAAGACTGTCGATGCAGACAGTTGAAAATGTGGCACCCAAAAGACGCCTTCCTAGGTCCCTGGCCACACCTTGTAAGAGAATCCTGCTGCCAAGTGTACACACTCCACCACAGGATCATATGCCAAAAGGCCAGGAGCCGTCAGACGAGAGCAACACATTTTTTTCATGAAACAGATGGTGAAACGCCAAATGTGTCTCCATCTTCAGAGAGAGGAGAGGCGCTGGCAGTTGGTGTGAGGATTGTGCCATGTGGGGGAAACCCACCCAGCACTCAGACATGAAGAAGGAATCACTGGAATGGCAAATGGCTTCAGAAAGTCTCGTCTTGACTCTCCAGTGGAAATGTTTGGCATTTTATTGGTTAATACCCTCAGAGCTGCACCAGCTGATGTCAAGAAGCTTAATGAACAGAAATGCAGCACATTTCTTTCATGTCTGATCACCACAAATACACACATGCATAAACTTGCTCTTCAATATGTACACATTTTTAGTTCAACATCAATACAATAGACTTTCTTGGCATTAAATATGACATGTGTTGCTAAAGCACAACTGCAAATACGAAAGACAATAAATAAAATAAAATAAAAACAAAAAAGTGAATAAAAATATGCATAAATAAAATAAAATAGCTAAAATAGTAAGTATTGCTACAATTTCAATGTTAATTCAAGACATACAACAACGATCTATTGATAACATCAAGTGACTTTAGTAGGGATCGTACAAGGTATAATATTCTAAGGATAACAGTATTTTTATTTATAAAAAAATAGCTTATAATTCAAGACTAGGAGCTACCATGCTATCGTTCAACAATGAATTATAAAATCTTAAATGCTTTATGGTATTCATTTGAAATACAGCAGAGAGAAACGCCAGGTGTAAATACCATTAAAGTCAGAGACTAAACACACTAAAGGCCTCTCAAGTGATGTATTACTGAGGTTTATATCCTGAGTGCCGCAGACAAAACACAGAAAGCTGCTGATTTCAGAATAGTCTGCTAATTAGATATTTCATCTTTTTATGCTCCTGCTTTTGAAAGAAACCCGATTAACTTTGAGCCTCAACGTTATTTGATAAGAGCTTTTAATGTAAGAGACCTTCAGGCAGTTATAATATATGTGGATACACTTTGCTTGGTCATTTTCTTGTAGGCTGTTGAGTCTTTTTGAGACTTTTTTTGAGAAAAAGTTGATTATATGTATGAAATGAATTCTTCTTTACTGAATTAATTGTATTGTTAGCTCACTAGAAACATGGTTCATTAAGCTTTTCTAGCACTCTTAAGGTATCTAAACTAACATTTCTAAGTCCAAAAGCCTTAATCATCACATCTAAATTATAAGTAGAAGCAAATAGCAAAACGAAAAAATGTAGGTTAGCAGAAAAAAAAAATCCCACAGCAATTAATGTATATTGTCACTATTGTGAGATGCCAGGAGATTACATAAAATGATACAAATCTAAATACATGTTTCCATTCAATTATTAGTTTTGTGTAGATGAAAACAAGGAATATATATTCAATCCAATAAATAAAATGAGGATTGGAGAAAAGTTCCTCCAAACTTTCAAGATATAGTACAAACCCTGTAGAGGGTCTAAGAGTAACCATCTATGGCGCATTTCCACTACACGGCCTCGCTCGGCCTCGCTCGGTATGGCTAGGCCTCGTTAGGACTGGCTCACTTTATGGCGCATTTCCATTACAGTTTAGGAACTGGGGTAGTATCTATAGCAGGGGTCGGCAACCTTTTTGATATGAAGTGCCATTCTAAAAAAAAAAAATTATCAGCGTGCCGACGATCGTGAATTATCAAGGGGGGGGGGGGGGGGTTGAAGAGCTCGACGAAAACACTCGTGAAAAGTGAGGTTTAAAACATGGGGCTCATTCACTGGCGCTTCCACAAACAACAACCTACATAATTGTTACATTCAAATTTAGTAGCCTACA